TTATGATTTGCCAGAGAACTCATACACTCACCAGAGAGAGACAGAGGGGGAAAGAGAGAGGGAAAGTGGATGGGAGATGGTCACACTGTGGTCCCTTCTCCATATCATCCTCCTTTCAGGACTTGGGTGGACATGCACACATGCTGGCGTGTTTTTCAAGCCTCCAGATGAAGGACCTAAACCATGTGGTCAGCCATGTAGGATCCAGCCACCTTACCCACCAGGCCACGGGCTGGCCCTAGATTAAGTATTTAACAGAATACTACTACTATCAAAAGCAAAAAATAGTAATCGAACCTGACATGTGTTGACTGCCTTTTATGTGCTAAGTATAATGCTTCACACTCATTCTCTCATTTAATCTTTACAATAACTTTGTGAATTTATTATTAGCCTCATTTTATAGATGGTGAAATTGATATAAAAAGTACACAGATAAAAAGATACGTAAGTGAGAAAAATGTTTTAAAAATCAGAAGCTGATCTAACAAAGTTATCTTGGCACGTTGGCTATGATCATATGAAAACTGAAATTTTGGGGAAGAAAATGTGATTATCATACAACCCAGAGTTTTATGAAAAATTGTCCTTCAAACAATTATCGAGTAAAAGGACAAATGTAAAGTAAAAGTTATAAAGAAATATGAATTTGTTGGTCTTGCAAAGCTAGCACAAAATAAGGGTCAGACGCTGGGTCAGGCAGCCAGATTCTACCAACAGCCTGGAGAAAAGAGACAAATGAGTCACTGACTCTATGGAAGTGAGCTTCTTTTAAACTAAAAAAAAAGTAAGAGGGCCAGCAGGCGGTGTGGTGCTTAAGGGGTTGGACTCCCATGTGGCTGACTGCAGTTCAATCCCCAGGTTCAGTAGTTTGAAAATGCTCAAAATCCCAAAAGGAGATAGAGGAGAAGGTATGGTGGTTGGCTGTCACCCTAAGGGGTGATTTCTCACTTTCCCTCTCTCTGTCTCTGTCTCTCTCCAGCAAGTGTACACACACTATGGCAAAAATCTGAAAAAATAAAATAAAATACAAGGTAAGATATATAAATATTTGGGAATAACCCATGTTGATCAAAAGTAACAGGAGAAAGACAGGAGACGGGACAGGATTTGGATAACAGTCAATTAGCAGAAGCATCTGGAGACATGTATTGACAATAGGCTATGGTCTCGTTCTTTGTCAACAAGATGTGTGGCAAAGTCCTAAAGGGGGCTGGTGCGAGTGTTTATGAGAAAGAATGCCTTTGTGAAGGTCCATGGCACAGAAAACAGGAAGTAACCAATACACAGATTGTGAGCGACCTCTTTCCATTTTTCTATGTCTTTGGCCTTAATTTAGCCTAGATAGACTTTATCTTCACACAACTCACACGTTTTGAGATTTAAAATTTTGTATAATGCTCAGTAGCTGATATATACAATTTGGGGTGTACTTTGTGATTTACATTTTTTTAAGTTTTGAAAACTTATACACTTATGTGAATTTCTTTTTTTTTTTAGAGAGGTTTTTTTTGCTATAAGGCATGTGCACTCGCCAAAAAGACAGAGAGGGACAGAGAGAAAGTGAGAAATCACCTCCCTCCCCACCCGGGGGGTTGGGGGGGATGGCCATGCCACAATCCCTTCTCCTCCATTCTCCTCTCAGGATCTTAGGCACACACGCACACATGCCTAGCATGAGTTTAAGCCACTGGGTTAGGGACTCGAACTGTGGTGGATCACATACATGGGAGTCCAGCGACTTAGCCATTATGCCAACAGCTGGTCCTACCTATGTGAATTTCTAAAAGAAAGTTCAAAAGTAAAGATAATCTTTTGTTTTCGAAATGTGATTAAGTTCCAAGGAACCAGAGAAATACTTTAGTTTGGTGACCATATGAATAGACTAACGTGAATAGAAAATAAGTTCTCCCCTCAGATTTCTTCTGTTAAAAGTGTTCAATAGATGTTTTCAAACTAACCTTGGTGATCATCATGGTTTGAAAAATGCCATTCAGTGATGACGCTATCTTGGTTTCACTGTAGTAGGAGGAAATGTCTAGAATCTCTTGGCTAGAAGATGTCAAATCCTCCTATCTGTTAAACTAGTATCATAGATATGAGAAGCCATCAAAAAATTCACAGAAAATGTACATGATGAATACACAATACACACATTTCAAAATGTTTGTACCAAAATAAACTCGTACTTTAATTGCATTTTTCCACAAACTTTCTGAAGCATCCTTGTGTGTTAGGAAAACATTTTCAAGGTTAGTCTTTATTCCCATGTACTGATTCTTACAATCTGCTTACACATATTTCACTCAAACATGGTACGGGTAAATAAATGAACATGGTGCAAAGCCGTATTTTTTCATTTTACCAGCAGTGGTTCATTAGGCAATACACAATTGCCTGGTGAACTGTTATTTTCCTTCCTGCTTTGTATTATGCCCAGCTTCTCTCCCTGGGCTAGACTTACAGGTGGGTTCTGATCATTGAGGGCATGTAACTCTGATCCCTCCCTCAAGGATGGGACTGTTCTCTGGGCCAGCCAGAAAAGCTTCAACATCCTCCCCTGCCTATCTACCTTCACCAGTGTCCACTGCAGATGTGGCCCCAGAATGGGTAAAATGTAACTTAAAAAAAAAAAAATGTAGTCACCAGTCCTTCAATGTTGGTGTTCTCTAAAGAGCAGTGCTGTTTAAAAATAAAAAATAAAAAAAAGCTTCTTTCACTCACCCTTGCATTATGCCTGGTTCATTTTGGCCCTTAGTTGGAAATAACTGCATATTTGGAAAAGCTAGGATTTTTATTTATGTTTGGAATCTTTTCATCAATATCTAGGAAAATGATTGATGACAGTCAAGTAAATAAGCACAGACAAACCAACAAAATCTTTAGGCCATCGTGGTGAATGTATTTCTAGGGGTTAATATATGGTGTGATAGAAAATAGATATCTGATCAGTGTCCCCAGTTCCTGGCACATAGCTTACAAGATCCTTGGACTCTCCAGAGTGAGGAGTGCCTTTTGGATGCTAGTGAAATGACTGGGCACTGGGGACTCCTAGACAACTTCAGAGTGAGGGCTCTGTGTCAGGTAGAACAAGGCATGGTTGCAAGGTTGGAGCTTTTAATTCTATTTCATTCCATACCCCACCTTCTTATGCCCCACCCAACCTCTTGGGAGGAGGAAGGGGCTGGACATTGAGTCAATCACCAATGGCCAATGATTTGATCAGTGTCACCTACATAGTGAAACCTCCATAAACCCCTCTAAAGGTCAGGGCTGGTGGGAACATCAAGGTGATGGAGGCCGGCGTGCCTGGAGAGTACTGAAGCTCTGTGCCTCTCCCTGTCCCTTGCCTTATGCAGCCCTTCCATTTGACTGTTCCTGTTACTGTTCATAATACAATGGAGTTTTCCCAAGTCTTGTGAGTTGTTCTAGTGAATTATTGAACCATAGTGAAGGGGACGTTGTGGGAACTCCCTAAGTTTGTGCTATAAGTTGGACTGGAGTGTGAGTAAGCCGAGGACCCCCTTTCTTGACTGGCCTCAGGGATGGGGGCTGTCTATGGAGCCTGAGTGAAAAATGCCAGAACTGACTGAATTATAGAACTCCCAGTTGGTGTCAAGCATTGGAAAATTGGTTAATGTAAGAGAAGAGAAATTCCACACATTTAGTATCAGAAGTGTGTTGAGTAAAAATAGTTCATTTTACCCTTGTTTTATAAGAAATGAATTAATATTAATATCATATGCTATGATTGGTAGTGATCGCTAAATAAAAATTGAAGTAGCTCTAGACCAGTACAATATTAGCAATCACATCAGTAGAGTTCCAAAATTAAACTACACCTGGCTCCTACCTTAAAGAAGATCATTTTAATGCCCCACAGAGTGGTTTATAAACTCTACTATAAGGTATGTGGAACTCTTAATTTCATTCCTAGAAAACCTCCTTCCTCCAACATATTACAATTCAGAAAGATTTTTCTTGCTTTGAATGTGAAAGAGTTCTACTGATTTCCATAAAATGAACAAAACCACAAATTTACACAATTTATATGGAATGTTCTTATTCTACCAACGTCAGTGCAAACATTCAGCCCATGGAACTTTTCTAGAAAACATCTGGTATGAATTTCATATGAAAGTCGTGCTTTTGGAGAGTGTCTAAATAAGAATATGATAGACTATAAAAAATGCTTTGTATTCTTTGACCCCTTCAAAATGTATTTCTACAACAATACAAAGTTGACATAAACCTCAAACACTTTGAAGACCTTTGCCCCTAGTAGATATTCAGTAAATATTTGTGAAATGACTAATGAGAAAGATGATTAGGAGGGCCAGCCCCTTAATGCAATGGTTAAGCCCTGTGCATTAGGAACTGGACCCACGTGGCCAACTACAATTGGAATCCTGGTCATGGCGGCTTGAAAATCATACCGGCATGGGGACCAGCAGTTAGCGTAATGGCTATGTTGCTGGACTCCCATGTAGTTGACCATGGTTCACGTCCCGGACCCGGAGGCTTAAAACTCATGCCGGGCGCGTGTGCATGTGTGCCCAAGATCCCGAGAGGAGAATGGAGGAGAAGGGATTGCGGCGTGGCCATCCCCCATGGGGGGTGATTTCTCACTTTCTGTCGCTCTGTCTCTCTCTGTCTGGCGAGCATATGAGCCCTATAGCAAACTTCTTAAAAAAAATTAAGAAAACCACACAGGCATGTGATTGTACCCCAAGTCTGACGGGAAGGAAGGAGAGATAGAGGAGAGGTGATTGTGGCATGAACATGCCCCATTGGCAGGTGCTTTCTGCCTCCTTCTTTCTGTCTCTGTCTGTGACTCTCTCTCTCTATTTCTCTCTGGTGAATAAGGCATTCTGACAATTAAAAAAATATATATCCAACTAAATGTTTAGTTCTAAATAAGACACAGTTAAATAGAGAGTAACGGAGTCCTAAAGGGTGTCTCTGACCAGTATCTAATGCCATAATTTCTATTCCCTTAGGGAAAAAATCAGTGCTGAGATTGAGTTCCCAGAAAAACTGGAAGCACCCAAGCTCACGGTAGCTGAAAGTGACCCTGAGAAACACCAAGTTAAAAATCAGCCTTTTCAAGACAAAATAATTGCTGAGAGCAATACTTCTAGCTCTATCAGAAGATACAGTTTGGACCAAATTTCAAAAGAAGAAAGAAAAAACATTAGATTTAACAGGTATAAATTTTTTTGATTAGTTTTTAAAGTATAGATTTTATATTTGCTGTTAGTTTTGTTATGCTACCGTTATGGGGTGCTTTTCAATATATCTTTTACACCTACTATTTGAGTAAAATCTTAACCTGTTTCTTGGCTTTAAGTTTTAAGCGAAGTTCCTTAGCATTTCTTTGATTTATTAAAGCTACAACTGCTTTTCTTGAAACTAAAAAATATATTTAAAAATACCTATTTAACGACCCTGGTAAGCTATATAGCATCAGCTAGGTGCTACCTTATAGTATATTTATTCTACTCAGAGTTTCACGCCTAAAGTTAGACATGTATGCACAGATATGTACATACCAGTTGAACTTGCTATTGAAAACAGTTAGATAATTTAATAAATTTTGTGAATCAATAAAATCTAGGAGAAAAAAGGAATAAAAAGCAACTGTAGACACCTGAGATTAGTATAGGAGGAGTGTGGGAAATAGCAGAGGGTGGGAAATAGGGGTAAAAAAAAATTAATAAATATATATATATATGTGTATATATATATATATATATATATGAAACTAGAAATGGAAAATTATTGATGATAACACGTATGATTAAGCCACTATGCAGTATATATTCTGGATGGAAAATCACATTTTGTATAT